TTATATCATTACAATTTGCTTTGGCGAATAAAATTAGGTGGTTCGGTTCTCGCTTGCCTTCTTCCACTCCCTGAAGAATATTCGACCTTTTCTCGAAAAACTCGAGAATATTATCATGAAAAAGCCTACGTAAGCTCGGATATAGATTTATTTATCTATGGATTGGATGAAGAGGCAGCGAAACAAAAAATGCTTCATATTTATAATGTCGTCGCGGATAATGTTCCATGGGAGGTCACATGTGTTCGAGCAAAGAGTTGTGTATCTATTATTAGTCAATATCCATATCGTCATATTCAGGTATCTTAAAAGTAACTATTAATTAATTGTTAATATAAATTAGAAATAATAAATACATTTATTACGAAATTTTTAGATCGTTTTACGGTTGTATCAATCTCCTTCTGAAATCTTGACCGGATTTGATGTGTAAATTTTAATTCTTTCGAGGCTCTAGATTCTGATAATAATAAGACCAAGTAACGAAGTCTAGTTTATTTTTTTAGTGATTGTTGCTCTGTTGGATTTGATGGAGAAAACGCGTGGGCATTACCAAGAGCGCACCAGGCCATCACAAAACAATGCAATGTAGTCGATTTGACACGGCGTTCACCTTCATATGAAATGCGATTAGCCAAGTATACGGAGCGTGGTTTCGAAATCAAAGTTCCATCATTGGATCATTCTCGAATCGATCCTACTATTTACGATCGCAGTTTTGAGAAATTGCATGGACTTGCTCGTTTACTCGTTCTGGAAAGATTAGCTACTCCAGATTTCAGATTCAGATACCTGGAGGAGAAAAGAGAATGTTCATTAAGACCAAAACATTCAAAAGCAGGAATTTATGCATCAAGAAGTTGGTCAAGATCGCAAAATTTGCGGCGCAGCAAATTCGAAAACAGCGACTATGAGACTGTTCAACTACCATATGGTGAAAGATTTAATGCGAAACGTATCAAAAAGCTTATATATAAGAAAGTAGGTTGCTACATTATTATAAGACAGTTATATTCAATCTTGTGTTAATCATCAACATTTTTACTTGAATAGGATATGGTGATGAATTCTCATTGGAATCAAAAGACTCGTAAACGGATTCTTCATCGGCATCCTTGCTTTTTTGGCACAATGGAACAAGTGTTCAATGACTGTTGTGGGACATGTCCTGATCCAAGAACGCCTGAGGAAAAAGAACTTCAAGAAGAGGAGGATAAAATTTTCGTGAGAGGAGAAATTTCCTTTATCAAAGACGATCCAGGACGCCAAGCAATTGGTAGTTTCCATCCACTTACGGAGGACGATTGGACCGAAGAAGCATTTATTAGGCCTGTTCGTGAAGATTTATGTGTTGTATCCGCTAAAGGCAATCTTGAAAAAATTAAGAAAGCGTTAGTTGAAGAAAAAGTGGATGTAAATGCCCGTGACTATCTTGGTAGAACTCCTTTGCAATTGGCTGTTATGGGCGGATTTACAGATGCTGTTGCTCTACTGCTAGCTCATGACGCAAGAATCACTGCCAGAATGTCGGATGGCCGAACAGCGGTGCATGTCGCTGCTATGCTTGGCTTTATGGATATTCTTGAGCTCTTGTTCAAGAAAAGTGATATCAATAAAAAAAAAGCAGAAAAGCGAGATTTGAAAGAAACATTAGCTGAAACAGAATCGCAATTGGTATCACTTGGTAAAGAAGACACAGACAGCGATAATTCTTATGGATCACTGGAATTGATTCAGAGAATGGAATTGGATGAAATACCTCCAGCTGATCAAGACAACAATGCGACTCCAATCTCCGCGGAGGAGGAGGAGGAGGAAGAAGATGATATCATCGACGTTAACATTGAAGCGTGGGATCATCAATTTACTCCTCTAGAATATGCTATTTTATTTGGTCGATTAGAAATTGCAAAGCTATTAATCAAGTATGGCGCGAACGTTAAGCGTCCTATCAAGTTTAGCGGGCTACCAATTGTTTATAATAATTATTACTCAAGTAAGAAAGTATATTTTCCTTTGAGTTTGTCGATGTTGACTAGAGATCAAGGAATGGGGTTGAAAATCGCGACTTTATTATTAGAAAATGGAGCTATGACTTCACAAGTATGTATTTGCAAAAATCTTTAAAGTTTAAAATGAAACATTAAAGTTTAAATATTACTTTAGCTTGATTAT